GCGGGGAGAGGATGATATTCCTCCCTATATTGCAGAGGGTGTACACCCGTCTTTGATACTGTTCGTAATGTCTAGAGGGGGAGATGATATTACTCTCAGAGTCGTAAACACGCTGTGTGTCCACCGTGGATCCTAATATCCAGGGAGGGAAATTACTCCCCAAGACGTGGGGGGTGTCCACCCCGCCTGTCACATTGTTTCCTGTACCCAGGGAGGAGAGGATTATATCGCTACCAATATCAAGAAGTGTACACGTCCCCTGTGATATGGTTCCTAATATCTTCGTTGGGAGAGGATGATATTACTCTCAATATCACGGGGGTTGTCCATCCCGCCTGAGATATTGTTCCTACTATCCAGAATAAGAGAGAATGATATTACTTCCAATAGTGCACGGCGTGTCCCCCGCCATGTGATATTGTTCTCAAGAGCTAAAGGAAGAGAAGAGAATATTATTCTTTGTACTGCAGGGGTGTACAACCAACTGCGATATTGTGAGGCACCCCTTGTGAAAACAAGAAAGACTGGAATTTGATGAGACTCCAGTACCACCTGGGCAGCTCTGCCTTCCCCACAGTCTCTCCAGCTCCCTTTTCTGTCCCGTGGGTGTAGGAGAACAGCTCTCCGCAGCAGGGTCCCACCCAGGGCTTCAGAGGACTTGATGGATTCACTCTTTCCTTCTGTTAGCAACACCAGGCACGGCTCTCTGCTGCGGATACTAACAAAACATTTTCTCTGTTTAATTTCTGAAAGGAATTTCTCTGGGATTTCCTGAACCATCAGGAGGGTCCCGCATAAGAGATCATTTAAGCCACGGGGAGATCAACTTACATGAATTTTCAAAAGAAACAACTAATCAGTTGCTTGCATTTTCTGTTGTACTGTTACTCAGATCTGTTGATGAAGGTCTACTATCAGTTTTTAAGGTAATTTACAGGGAAGAAAATCATTAATTAGATTAACTCATTCAGCTATGAAAGGATATAGTTTATTTTTCAAATGTAATTAACTATTAATCATCTTTTAGTATATCTGAGTTACAGTATCCTCCATCAGAAAAAAAAGTGACTGGATTACACGTAAGTTTATATTCTCTATCACAGATCAATCAATATTAATCTTAGCTAAAATAATTTAACTTGTTTCTTAAAAACACATTTGCTTTTGTATGTAACAGCAGCTAAGTATTGAAAATCAAAGAGCAAATTATAAAACAGGATTAACCAAATATTAGGAAATTTTTACAGATGTTTGCTGCATCGATGGGGTAGGATATTTGCATCATCAATAAACTAATTCTTTTATTATTTCAAAGTAAATAATTTAGGTTAGAATATTTGTTATTGACATTTTAATCTTTTTTTCAAATATACATTTGACAGTTATTTTAAAATGTTTAAATGTTCAAAGAAAAATTACTAGAAATAGAAAAACTAATGTGAAAAGTAACAGCCCTCAAGACTTCCATCTCCCAGAAATAACTACTGTTAATAATTAGGTAGTGTTGCTACCACATTTTTGCTATGAGTGTACCAAAGTGAGTTCGTAGGAAGGTACGTTGTGTTTTATAGCTAGCATTTTTCATTAACAGTGTGTTTTTGGCATCTTTGTTCTGCCTTATTCTTTTTGTCAGCTGTTTGATATTCCATTTTATCAATATGTTATTATTTACCTAAGCAGTCCTTCATTGATGGATGAGTTGTAATGTTCCTGATGTAGAAAATTCCTAATTATTATGCTGAAATGAACATCTTTGTTCATTTGGGCACTTATGTAAATACTCTTAAAAAGTAAAGTTCTAAGACAAAAATATCAATAAGGTTTTTTAAATTCTTTTATTTATTTATTTATTTTTTTTATGAGACAGGGTCTGCTCTGTCGCCCAGGCTAGAGTGCAGTGGTGCAGTCATGGCTTATGATAGCCTCGACCTCCTGGGCTCAAGCCATCCTCTTGCCTCAGCCTCCCGAGTAGCTGGGACCACAGGCGCGAGCCATCATATCCAGCCAAGATTGTTTTTATTTTCATTCTTTTTTTATGTTTACTAGATGTTTATAATTATTTCATTAATTGCCTATTAATGTATTTTCTCCATTTGTTTCAGTTTCATTTTTCCCACTGGTTCATTAGCCTTATTTGTGTACATATTGCTTTGTTATTTGTTCATAGGTTTTGATTTTTTTTTTCCTCTGGCTTCACATTTGGAGTCATTCTGAAAAGAATCTTTGCTTTTCAAAATTAAAAATATAGGTATACTTTTTCTCTGGTACTTCTATTTTTTCTTTTTCTTTTTTTTTTTTTTTTTTTTTTTTTTGAGACAAAGTCTCACTCTGTCACCCAGGCTGGAGTGCAGTAGCACAATCTCAGCTCACTGCAACCTCTGCCTCCTGGGTTCGAGCAGTTCTCTGCCTCAGTCTCCCGAGTATCTGGGATTACAGGTGCCTGCCACCACGCCCGGCTAGTTTTTTTGTATTTTTAATAGAGGCGGGGTATCATCATGTTGGTCAGACTGGTCTTGAACTCCTGACCTTGTGTTCCACCCGCCTCAGCCTCCCAAAGTGCTGGGATTACAGGCATGAGCCAACGTGCCCTACCTATTTTTTCTTTATTTTCCATTTACGTCTTTGGATCCAACTGGAATTTATTTCATCTTGAGAGTAAGGTACAGAGTCTAGCTTTACTTTAAAAAAGATTAATAGTTATTATTCTGTGTAAACTTGGACAAAGATAAAACCCCAAAAACAAATAAGAACACCTCATGGATTGAGTTAGGGATAATTGACATTTTTCACAATATTGAAGCTTATTCAGGGACACAGTGTCTCCCCATCTTCATCTCTCAAGTCCTCCCATCTACGTGGCACCTCCAGCCTCAGATTCCTCTCCTCTCTTCATACTCCGTCCTTGAAGCAGGTTTTAGAAATATGTTCCACAGTCCGGGCACGGTGGCTCATGCCTGTAATCCCAGCACTTTGGGAGGTCAAGGCAGGTGGATCACCTGAGGTCAGAAGTTCGAGACCAGCCTGGCCAACATGGTGAAACCATGTTTCTAATAAAAATACAAAAACTAGCTGGGCATGGTGGTGGGTGCCTGTAGTCCTGAGAATAGCTTGAACACGGAAGGCAGATGTTATAGTGAACTGAGATTGTGCCACTGCTTTCCAGCCTGAGTGACAGAGCAAGACTCCATCTCAAAAAAAAGAAAAAGAAAAAAAAAAGAAATATGTTCCACATCTGCTTCTTCCTGTCCCTCCTGTGCCACCACCTGGCCATACCGCCTTGGTCCCTCCCTGGAATGTCGCTGGCACTGACTGGTCTGCCCACCGACTTCTGCGAGCCCTTCCCCTTGTCATAACACAGCAGCCAGACTGATCCTTCCCCAACATGTCTTCCTCTCCTCAGAAGCCCTCAGATGGGTTCATGTCTTGGAACAGAAGCCAGGCGCTCTGCAGTGGCACACATACACCGCTCTGCAGTGGGATATGTACGCTGCTCTGCAGTGACACATACACTGCTCTGCAGTGGGATAGGTAGGCTGCTCTACAGTGGCACACATACGCCGCTCTGCAGTGGGATACATACTCTGCTCTGCAGTGGCACACATGCTGCGTGTGGGTCTGCCCTGTAGGGACATCACCCGTGCAGGCACATGTGTGTGCCTCCCGTGTTCTGCCCAGCACACTCCCTAGTGCACTCCAGGCTCTCACACATCTGAGTGAAGGGAAGGCCAGCACATTTCTTCCATAGTTAACATCTAGCTACTTGAGTTGTTTGTTTTGTGCTTTTAAGAATTGTAGGTAGCGGGCCGGGTGCAGTGGCTAACACCTGTAATCCCAGCACCTTGGGAGGCCGAGGCAGGTGGTTCACCTGAGGTCAGGAGTTCAAGACCAGTGTGGCCAAACGTGGTGAAACCCCGTCTCTAATAAAAATACAAAAAAATTAGCCAGACGTAATGGTGGATGCCTGTAATCCCAGCTACTTAGGAGGCTGAAGCTGGAGAATCACTTGAACCTGGGAGGCAGAGGTTGCAGTGAGCTGAGATCACACCAGTGCACTCCAGCCTGGGCAAAAAGAGTAAGACTGTGTCTCAAAAAAAAAAAAAAAGAAAAGAAAAAAGAAAAGAAAAAAGAATTGTAGGTAGTTACAGATTTTTTAATTTGTCAACTATCAATTCACTGACTTTGTTTCTAATAAGTTTCAGTTGACTGACTTGGATTTTTAAGTTATGTGGTTATATCAGCTTCAAATGATGTAATTTTTATGCTTGTAAAAATATGTATTTGCTTAGCAATTAAATGATTATGTGATTTTTTTTAGTTGTATTGTTTTTTAGTGTTTAAGTAACTATTTCCTAGTTAAATTTCCAATTGTTTGGAATCCTTTTTTTCTTATTCATCTCCAGTTTTGTGCACAGAGGGTGGGTGTGGCATTTGTGATCTATTATTGTTAATGGCCTCCATTTAAAATCATTTTATTGGCTGTGATTTCCTTGCCATGTGAAACCTATTTTAGTGAAGCGTTTGCTTTTCTAGCTGCAAAAAATTGTTTGAAGAAAGATAATGAGAAATGGGGACTCTAATTGGCCTACAGTTCAATAGAAGAAAACTAAAAGTCTACCCAAACACGATAGTAGCCACTGTTTTCTCTAAACTAGAAAAAAGCAGCAGTAGAATTGTTGATTAGTCTTGCAGAAGGCTATAGTTCTCACTGCCATCCAGATTTTCAGCTTAAAAAACAGGTATGCCGAATGCAGGGTGCTGGGAGGGGTGTGTACGTCTCTGAAACCACCTGTCTTTTGCAGAGATGCTGGAAGGGTGCAGTTTGACTGCTGAGTCAGACTTTGAGTTGGGCAGATCCAGCTTTCTAGCCAGCGTGGTGCTTGCTGTGGCCCTGGCCTGGTTGCTTAGTCTTCTGAGCCTCAAGTTCCATGTCTCGCTGTTGAAAGTAATGCAGTGCTGATGGCACTGAGGTTTTTAGTGTTAAATGGATGAGCACTGGGAAGTGTTTTTGCTGAATCCCCTGCCAGGCTTTTATTGCTGTAGGCAGTAACGCAGAGCTGGGAGCAGTTTTTATTTGTCAGTGGTGAGTAATGTCAGTTTTTCTTCTCCTACATGGACTAGCTTTTGTTAACTTACTGAAACAAACAATTTTTTAAGCATTTCTGCCAGGAAGTTCCAATTTGGCAATCAGCGAAGGTGTTTTATTCTACACACGGGAGGATACAAGGGTAGTGCAAGGGGATGAAAAAGACAGTCCCCAAGAATATAAGCATCGTGACAGCTGTGCAGGTGAAAATGCATAAATGAGACTACCTCTAAAAGGAAGCTGTAAAATCAGCACACAGCGGGTCAGGAGAGATTTGCAAAGGGGCTTTAAAGAAATGGTGCCTTGAGAAGTCGGAGGCCTCCTTGAGAATGCCTTAAGGAAAATACTGTCAGAAGGGGGTTGTCAGCAGTGAAGTTGGGAAAACAGCCTCCTGGAGGTGTGGCTTGGAGGCAGAGCATCGGGCTGCACTGGTCGGATGCCATTCCCCATTGGCGCCGCAGATCAGCTTTACCAGTGGGGATTGCCATGCTTTCCAAGCGCAAGCCCTTAGGAAGGTAGAGGTGGGCAGGTAGGGAGAAGGGAAGATTTAGGAAGGAAGAGGAGCTTCAAGAAGGCAGCCTTTGTCTTCCAACCAGAGCTGCTGAGGCTCCAGACCATCCTCTCCTGCGCCCCACGGTGGCTATTTGGGTCCTTACCACTTCCTGTCCCCCTCCTGGCATCTCACAGGTATTCAGGCAGCTTTGCATCCAGGGCTTCGGTTCTTCCTGCTGTTGAGACCACTCACGCTCCGTGGTGTCACCAGCCACCGTTTGACTTGCTCATGTGCTAGTGGGTTAGAAATGGGGAGCATCTGCCGAGGGATCTGTCCTGTGGCCTGGCCTGGGTGTGGACGGCTGTGGTCCCCCAGGGCTTCGTGGATGTTGCGTCTGAGAAGACTGGAAGTTGGCCAGAGGTCTCATGGGGGTCCTGCAGGGACAGTCTCAAGGTGACAGCGGCTGCACCCCGAGCGCGGCCTGAACTGGAGAGGCACTTGCGCCTCTGACATGGCTTTGCATAACACGCAGCATCTTCACACCTGCTGTGTTCTGCTGGTTCCAGGCCAGTCATCAGAGCTCGTGCAGATTTGGTGGGGTCCTCCCTCTCAATGGCAGGTGTCGAAAGAACCTGTGGATATGGTCATAGCCACCCCAGACGTTCACTTCCTACCAATCCCCTGGTAGTTTCCCCAGCCTTCCCCCATCTGTACTGAAGAACTGACACCCGCCCTCTGGTTTTAAAATGTTGAGAATTTGTAATAATTTTATAGATACGTATTTTCTAGAGAGTGATGTAACATCCATAACAATCTAAAAACAGATTTTCTAGGAAGTTACCGTGAAATCTACAAAGTCAATAAAATATTTCATCCCAGGTGCTGAGCTTTGAGGAGAGTATCAGGGTTTGGGCTCTGCTGCCTTTCCCCGAAGAACTCACTTGGGAAGCAGTCAGGTACGTGGCATCCTGGGGCCTGGCTGACATCAAGCTTGTCTGGTACTGTTAGTTTCAGCAGCATTTCTTCTTTAGCGAGGCTGTTGGAAGATAAAAGGGGAAGGAGGAATTTCTGGGCCTTGGTGGCTGTGAGGAGCTGCAAGTGATGCTGAATGCAATCTTCCAGCTGGCCTGGGGCCCTGGTGGAGACTGAACATGGAATGAGGGGCAGGTTTTGTGGGTAGACAATGGCGTCCATGAGAACTACTGAGTAGGCAGAAAGAAAGATGGGTCTGAAGCTCAGGAGAGAAGTGGGGATGGAGGCATGCATTCTGGAATCGTAGACAACAGCAGACATACTTGTTCAGCAGGAGGAATACGCAGGTGGTTCATCGTCTCGTCATCAGTCATCATTGGACTTTGCTTTTCGCATGGGGCATCGTTTCTTTCTCCACTGCCCCGTGATGGTGGCTTTTTACATTTTATATTTGGGGAAACTAAGATTCACAGTCAGGTTGCTGCTCAGTGAACCATTAACCATTATTGTGCATGGGCACTAATGTGGGCATTTTAATTGTCATGTATCTTTAAATATTTTCTATTTTTCAGATTAGAAGATAATTCTGAAACAAATGCCAGCCACTCTTTAATTACAAAAATGACGGATGAGCTGTATCACCATGTGCCTGAGAATCATTGTGTTTTAAAGGACTTGGATCATCTTCCTACTGAGACGTAAGTTCCAGGACATCCTGACAACTGTTGAAACATTGATTCTGCAGATTAGCATAGCAAACTTAGACATTTTCTATGTTTTAGATTTTATAAAGTAGTCTTAGAATCCCACTGTTACTACTCCAAGAGGAATTATGAGATCAGTTTTGACAATCTCTGTGCAAGCGCGGCACATCTGATGAGGCTATGAATGTCACATTCTGTTTGCCACAATTCAGTGTATTTAATTAACACTTGCCACATGTCACGGTTGTCCCTGCAGACCCACCAGTGATACGCAGCTAGCCCTGGCTCCCAGAAAGCTGCAGCCTTGCAGGTACAGGAGAGTGAGGTACAGGTGAGGATCACAATGCCTGCTCCAAGTCTGGCTCTGTTTGCAGGTGGCCCCTGCTGCTCCATGAGCTCTGCAGCACACCCTTTCCTACCCTCTTCTGCCCCAGGATTGTGCTGGAAGTGCTGGTTGTGCTCCAAAGCATCGGCAAGCAGTGTCACCACATGTCTGGCCAGGTCACCATTGCCTCAGAGCTGAGACACAGGCAGTGGGTGGAGAGGATGCTGCGGTCTCGCCAGCGGCAGAACTACCTGCGTATATGGAGTAGGTGCGCGCTCACTTTCCTGTTTTGGAGGGGCACTGTGGGGCAGGAAGTTGTCACAGATTCAGTTCCAGTCCCCACTGAAGACACACACAGTAGGCCCCTCACTAAACCCATCGACAGGTGTTGATATACTTGGAGTTCACAACTGAGAGTATGAACCCAACGTATCTGAGACAGGTCTCAATCCTTTTAGAAAGTTTACTTTCCCAGGGTTAAGGACGTGCTGTGACAGCCTCAGGAGATCCTGACAGCATGTGCCCCAGGTACTTGGGGCGCAGCTTGCTTTTATACATTTTTATAAATTTTAAGGAGACATAAGACATCAGTCAGTAGGTGTAAGGTGTACATTGGTTCCATCTGGAAAGGCAGGAAAACACAAAGGTGGGGGCCTTCCAGGTTATAGGTGGACAAGAGACAAAGGATTGCATTGTTTTGAGTTTTTTATAGGCCTTTCGGTGAATACACAATTGACTTGTGAGTGGGGGTAGAGGAATAGTGACTTACACCTTAGTGTGGCTCAGTGAAGCTGTATTTTACACAGGGCAGAGGAAGCAATCATATAGATATTTGTCTCAGGTGAGCTGAGGGATGACGCCCTGTCCCACCCCTGGGAAGATCAGCTGGCAACTGCATTGCCAGGGTGAAATTCAGCAGAAGCCTTTCCGGGTAGAGATCTTGAGGCCCATGAGGCATTTCCTTGTGGACAAACTGTGAGGGGGGTCTGTATGTACCTTTTTTCTCTTGTAGCCACATTATTTAGGAATAAAATAGGAGGCAGGTTTGCCTGAGGCAGTTCCCAGCTTGACTTTTCCCTTTGGCTTAGTGAGTTTGGGGTACTGAGATTTATTTTCCTTGCACGGTGGAAACAAAAGTTAAGTTCCCACAGCATGTTTCTGGTCATAAAAATATTGCCAAACTTCTAAAGAAAGACCCAAAACACTTAAAGTGTTAAACATTGAGGCACATATGAGCTCTATGGACATTTAAGAAAGATGAATAAAAACAAGTGAGAACTACTCACTGTTTGGCGAGGCAGTGAGTGACGGCAGTCCGGCAGTCCTGTGGTGGTTAAATGAGGCAGTAAATGTTTGCAGAGCGAGACCTCCCCAGGCCCAACCCCTTCCCCCCACCCACAGCTCCAGCACCAACAGGAACAAATGTGTGGGTCACTGAGAACTTTTGTACCGACACGCACTGTCGAGCACTTGTATGATGATGGTAGACTTTACAAGTTCTTATAATTTGTATTCATTCATTCATTCATTCATTCATTCATTTTCCAACCTGTTCATTCCAGTTCAGAGTTGTGGGTGGCTGGAGCCTATCCCGGCAGCTCTGGGTACAAGGCAGGACCCACCCTGGACAGGACGTGGTTCCTTCGCAGGGCCAGTCACACACCCACACTCACTCTGGGACCATGGAGATGCGTCAGTTCACCTAATATGCATGGCTCTGAGATGTGGGAGGAAACTGGGGGATGGGAAAAAACCCATGCAGAACGTGCTTCTCCACACAGACCGTGGCCCTCATGGTGTATCGATTTCTTTTCTCACTGATGTTGTGATGAAATGGTGTTGAATGAAATGATGTTATCTGAGGACTGTGAGGACTCCCCATGCTGATTTTCATAGAAAGTTATAGTACATACTATTTTAAATAGTGTTTGTAATTTGGCCTATGGAAATGTGGGTCCTATCTACCTAAATGAATATTTGGATTTAAAGTATAACAGCGGATTAACTGGATTTGGATTTAAAATATAACAACAGATTAACTTAATAGCAGATTAACAGCATTATGGTTCCTTCACTTACAGTGTATATTTTAGAATGTGCTACATCCTTAAGAAATGACCATTGTGGATACATTTCTAGAA